ACCCCCACTCATTCTGCATTTTCTGCCTTTGTGCTGAGTAACGACGTCAAAGGCTTTCCAGCAAAGGGGCTGCTCAGAAATGCAACGCATCTTAAATGTAACGTATCCTAAACGTCACAGCAGTAAAGCCAGAGGACACAGGCAGGAATTACTCCAGGCTGTAACATATGTATAACGGAAAGTAAGTGAAACATTCAGCTCCATACCTACTTGTGACAGAGAAGTATCACTTTCCACCCTGTGGGCAGGTGGCACTACCCCCTAGTTAAAGCACTACAGCATGCCATGGTAACGTATCTATGGGTAACGTCAGCCGTAATACCAAGTGACTCAAATTTACACCCTTTTTGTTTCATAAATATTTGTTTTTTCAACTGACTCATTGCACAGGATATGAAATAGAGCAGACCGAGCACCTCTGCAGAAGTATCGCCTAACACATCCCACCTGCACCTATTTAGGTGATTTGATGAGGCAAGATGAGAGGGAAAGAGCTACGAACGAGGAGCCTCCGTGTCCCCAACCCCAAGTGAGATCAAATCAAAGCCAATTTTAATTTAATTTAGAAAGGCAATACAAACAAGTGTTCTAAGCAAAACTTGGTATGCACCGATACATCCTGTCATCAGTCCTGACATCCAATAAAGCAAAAAGCTACTTTGGCAAGGCTCACTATTTAACGTCTCTGGAACTTTTATTTCCCCAGCATTTCTCCAGCATCCTTCTGAGGAGACTTAGGCTGGACTTCATCACAGACACAGCCTGCCTCCTTCCAAAGGAACTGCAGAATGGGATCAAGGCTGCAGAAGAGGCTGGCCCCACAGAATATTTACTCCTGTTTTTCTATAAAAACTTGAAACCAGAAGATCTTGCTACAGAGCCTTCACTTCACTGCCATTCAAAACTTCATCCCATAACTCACTCACCATCAGAAGGGGCCGTGGTGAGCGTGTTACGAAGATGATGTTCTGTCAGTGGGGACACAGTTTTCCTTCTCTTTTTAACAGTAATGGTGTGAAAGCCAACACAAACTTGCAATTCGGAAGAGTAAGACGTTAGTTTGCTAAAAGTTAATTTGTTGCAAGCCCTGACTTCCTGCCATAGTGGAGAGGTACCTACAACAATTTTTAGTGAAGACAAAACTATATTGTTTAAAAAAAGAAATAACGTGTTTGAGACTTGCTGACGATTTTGCATTTTGTTACACACACAGTAAGATGTGTGAGGAGCATGTAATTAATTGCAAAGTGATTAAACCGGATTCGAGAGCTATATTTTATATAACTATAAAGCAGCATATAGCAAAAGGACAATTTATAGCAGTAACGATCGATCGCTTCAGAATTACATAACAAGCCATCAGATGATGGCAAGATGGGATCTTGCAAGAGCTGCATTTTTGCTGTGCTGGTTGCCTTGGATGCCCTCCCTGATGTGTCAGGGTTGCAGATTGTCATTAGTGCTGAAAACTGCCAGCTCTTCTTGTGCCTGCCCGAAATAGTTCCCAAAGCTCAATCAGCACGAAGACCGAAAACGGAGACGCTTCCCAAACGACCTGTATTTGAATGACATCGCTTTGGCTACATGACCCTCGGGACACCAAAACACGCTCTCCCTCCCCCTGCTCCCGCCCAGCGGGAGCAGCAGCCTCCGCGCAGATAAGCGATGCTGCAGAGAGCGCGGCAAGGACACGGAGCGCAGGTGAGCAGAAGCGCCGGCCGGGCTGCTCAGAAAATGGCTGGCTTGGCGGGGAAGCACAGCGCGCCGACACGCACAGCTCCGTCCCACCTCCCCGGGATGCGCTGGGCAGCACGCGCCGCTCCGTGGTGCCTGGCAGCAGCGAGACGGATGGGCAACGCTCAGGGGAAAAGGAGAGAAGGAAGCCTGGGAGCGAGTCGGCTTGCTTCCAACGCCTGTCATTTCCCTGAGCGCCTCGTTACCGTGCCTCCACACCGACAGCGCCGCGGAGGGCTCCTCTCCCTTCTGTCTGACAACACGACACGGCAAAGCAGTGACGGCCATTTCCAAGAGGAAAGCGCTCTCGATTTACACGTTACTTCTTAAGAGCTTACCTAACGTAACGTGCACTTGCCATTCTATTGTCTCGGGAAACGGGGGGCTCCGCCGTTTGCAAGCCGTTCGAGTCGCGCCGCAGCAGGGCACAGCAGGGCACACCTCGCTCACCCCTCCGCCCCCCTCCCCGCCCTGACGCCCCTCAGACAGCCGCCCGCGGCCCACAGCTGCCGTCCGCGCGCCGACCTCTCGCGGCCACCGGCGGCCGCGCCCCCTCCCCTCGCGGCCACAGCCGGCACCCGCGCCCCGCCCCCGGCACCCCGCGGAAGGGCTCGCCGTCCGCCCGGCATCACCGCGGCGCCCGGCCGGGCGGGGGGCGGCCGAGGCGGCGCCCGGCCCGTCTCCGCGCCCGCAGGTCTCGGCGCTCCGCGGCCCGCTCACCTGCCCCGCCGCCGCCGCCCCCAGCCGCTCTGCGCCGCTCCGGCAGTTCCGCATCGAGCGCCAGGAGCGGAACGCGCCACCGCCGGCCGCAGGGAGGGAGGGAGGGAGAGAGGGAGGGGCGGAAGGAACCACTCGCACCGGCGGCGAGGGGTGGGCAGGTACCTCCCGCCCTGGGCGCCGCGCTCCTCTGAGGGGCGGCGCCGCGCGCTCCCGCAGGACGGAGGGCCGCAGCGCGGCGTGCAGCCGCCCCGTGGTGCGGCGTCAGAGCGAGGCCTGGCTCCGTGCAAGCAAGGCCGGCGCGAGCGGCAGGCGTTAGGAATTGCCCCAGCAACGAGATGCGGTGCTGGGAACCTGAGCGAAATGCGAGGGCTGCTACCTGCTGGGCCCGGGGTTGGGAGGGAGCAGTGCTGGGGCGAGCTCGAGGCTTGGCGTTCTGAACTTTATACCGACCCAGTTATTAGCACGAACCAAAATGACTAAAATAAACTCCAAATGCAAACAAAACTACCACCGATATTCCAGTGGTTTAAAACAAACGAACAAAAAAATGGTTAAAAAAACCCACAACCGGGGCTTCAGTATCCCATACCCGTGCTCTCTCACCGGGCAGAGGAGCTGGGACTTTTCTCCTGCTCCCCCACGCGCACAGTCTGCACAAGCCCAGCTGCCAGCCATCCAACCACAGCGCTGCCCCTCAGCACCCCCGCAGGAGGCATTTCAAGCACCCCAGCTTCTCCAGCACCCAATGAGCAACTCTAGAGACTTGGAGCAGTGGGAAGCACTCTGCAAATACTAACGCACCGCTGATCTCCTGTCTCCTCCACACCCGCTTACTGACCTCCCTGGGCTAACAGCTCCCATTTGAGAAGCGGTTATAAAACTAGAAATTAACCCTATACTCATTTGCACATAAAACAAAAACAAAAACAAAAAAAACACCACAATCAAAGGACTTCTCTTTGCTTCCAGGATACTGGAGAGGGATGGAGAAGCCAAAACCAAACAAAATCTATTTTCTCCAGTGCCAGCAGTAACATTATTGGCTGCAACTTCAAAATCGGTGTTTGCATGCAGCTCTTCTCTTCAAATTAATAAAAAATGAGATGGCAGCAGCTCAGGCTGCAACTTCAAAGCAAGTGCCTGTCACCAGGCAGCAACTTCATTGCTGCCTCACTTCTGGCTGCTGACAGCCTTGTTCATCAGCAGACCCTTCAGCAGGGCCCAGCTGTCCTCTCATCCATCCAAGGCTGGTCTGGCCTCCCAGCTCTGCTCACTGCTCCCCCTCTCACTCCCTGTGAGCCTCACGTGAGCAGTTTTCAGCTTGGACCTGTATTTCAATTCTGTTGAGCCGGTCTATGTGAGAAGCAGAGTGAAGCACGTGGAATAAAATGGTTAAACTCTGAATGCAGCCCACAAATCAAAGTGAGACGTATAGGTAATAAACAGTCTTCACAACATGCACTTTTATCCACATTTGTTGGCTACAGCACATAGAAGGGTGAACACTGGACTAAATCCCACACTGAAGGTCAAAGAACCTGTGTGGCATTGCACTATTTCTTATTTCACTACTTCCTGCTTCTCCCCAAGCACCTATATCCTCACTTTCTTATTAGCTTGGAGTTTGTTACACCAAGCACTTACTTCACCTTCCTCCAGTCTAATGATGGCATCAGAGAATGTCAAAATCCTGTATTAGGCTTTATTCTTTTATATAAACATTAACATTTCTCAAACAGATTAGTTAAAAATACAGATTTAAACAAGATTTTTTTTTTTTTTTCTGCAATTGCAATGAGTTATAAAAAACAACAGATTATTTTACGGATTGTTACAAGTGCTTTACAAAGGTGCAGAGTGAAGGCCAGTGGCAAGGGACCAACCTCAAGTGCAAAATGGACACAATACCCTCACCACGGGCATAGCGCTCAGATACACAGCCAAAAAAAACAACAAACCAACAAAAAAACCAACACGAGCCATGTGAACGTAGGCTCTCGGGATGCTCACCAGGCAAGCAAACAGACCCCTATGACAGAGAAGACTCATGAGACCAAACTACCAGGATACTTCAGGTTACATCTCTGAGATCAGCCATAAAGATGTTGTTTCTTGGAAAATAAGGAACATATTTTGGAACAGTATGCTTCTCTTGTCAGACAACGTATTGCTTTAAGTCCCAGAATACTTATAAATGTGGATACTTAAGAATGCGGGGCATAAATCCAGCGTGGCTCTCACTGTGCCCAACGTGAAGGAAGGATACAAGACCCAAGTGTTCTTCTAAAGCAGTTGGCACTCCTCATACAGCAGGGACCTCCATATTGCATCAGAACCACTGGAACCTCGAGAAAGTACCTTGGAAAGACTTTGGCATGAGGAAGAAGATGCAAGCAGATGAAGTAACACTCAATATTCCTGCAGCCCATGATCTGAGAGTTGTGCAGCCCACAGCTTGTACAATGCCCACATATTTCACTCAGTGCAGTGCGTCCTCTCTCCTTGGCCAACACATCTTCACACTGACCTTGGAACACATGCCATATGCTCCAAATTCTTGCAAGTTTTGGAGATCCTTTCACCACATCTATCTTGCCTAGGTACCAGCCCTTCCCACCTTTCTCTCTTCTCTTCCACCCCTAAAGACAGAAAAAAATCTATGCCCTGATTTGTTTTGAACTAAAGTTTTCCAGCTGTTAGCAAGTCAAAGGTAAAGTGAACTGGCTGCAAATCAGCATGAGATAGAATTGTGATATATTACATTAAAAAAAAAAATAAATTCTCTACTTTATGCCTGACATTTTTCTGGTGTACAAATGTTCCCTACCCAGAGGATTTCCCTGTTAGACAAAGGGCACTACACATTAGAATCATAGAACGGCCTAGGTTGGAAGGGACCATAAAGATCATTTAGTTCCAATATCAGAGGAATCCTCTTTCCAAAGAAAGGCCAGAATGAAAGGGCACCTCTAGAGATGAAGTCTCACTATAAGGAAATAACAGCTACTTCTCTTGGAATCTTTGCAAAGGGCAGCACATAGAAGATATTTTATTTATAGGAAACCCAGTGACACCCCTAGAACATACACACTGACTTCCCTGAGCTCCTCAGATCCAGGTACACTGGGGACCCTGCATAAGCCTTTTGAGCTGGGTTACTCTCAATAGAGAGGGTTTGGCAAATTCCTGCAAATTCATTTTCATAATCAACGAGAGAGGAAAGGATCAATTAGCAAATCCCCAGGACATGCTTAGAAAAGAGAAAGAGACTGAAGAAAGAGGTGTATGTGTGTGGAGAGTCTTCATTTCTACCGTTTTCAGATGTTTTGTATTATTCATTTGGGGTGTGGGCACTACATCAAAACCAACCCCCATCATCTGATCTACCCCAGCTGCCTCCTGCATAGTCTCATTACAACATTGAAACTCCAAGCTCGTCACTCTCTGCACTGCCTAGCCCAGAGTTCAGTGCTTTGGAGAGGGGAGGCTGGCTTCTCGTTAGCAAAGGCTGGGACATGGCGTTATGTCAGCACATCAGTGCCCTGGGAGCATGCTGTCACTCATGCACATCCCAGATTTCTGAGAGCAGGGGAGGAAGTTTCTTGTCCTGCAGCCGAAGGGCAAACACCTGTTCAGAGTGAACACTACTTAGTGTCCGAAGACTGACCAGCTTCATTAACATCCGTGGAAACATCAGATGATCCTGCAGGGTCAGAAATTGACAGCTGTTAGTAAATCCATGCTAAAACTTTGGCTTTTGAAAGCTAACAAATCCCACCAAACCGCTGTGGATGATGCATTACAGACAATCTCAATTTCCTCTAGAACCAGCATTATCCTGGAGGCAGCAGTGTGGAAGAACACAAATACAACTCTACGCCCCAAAACTCCAGACTTTCCATGCTAGCTAACTACAGAGCACAATACAGAACAGCAGGCTGTGACAGCTCACAAATCCTCCATTTACAGCTGCTATCAAGTAGCCATAGAAGGGAACAGCACGACAGTACAGGCAACAAGAGATCTGTTTGACACTACTGTCAGAACTGGGCCTGCATAAACACAAATTCAGTTTGTTATCATCGCAGGGATGTTCCGATGAGACACTTACATTTGGTCTATTGATGCATATGTAAGAATGAAGGGCTTCCACATAGGTGTGCTGTAGTCTCTCCACCAGGGACTGGTCCTGCACATTCGGTCGGTCTACCAAAAAGCAGGTTAGAAGTAAGCTGGTTGCTACAGGCAGCATCACTAGACTTGATCCTGGTTAGCCTCAGTAAGATCTCTCCCCAAAACTCATCTAGCATTCACCCAGCACAGCTGGGACAGTCATTTGTGAATGCAGCAGCTATGCCAGTTTTCTCAAACTGTTTTTTTTCAATCACGTCTAATGTATACAGGGAGTCAGATCTGATTCCTACAGAGGTAGGAGGTTATAGAGACCACATTTGTGACTGACTGAAGATGAAAAGCTGCAGCTACTCAGGAAGGAAATGGGAAAGTTTCTGCACCACTCCAAAAACAGGAACAAATAAATAATTCTGATCTTTCAGGTCACAAGACACAGAAAAAAGATGCAAGGAGTAGAGACAGCTTCTTTTCAGAGCCCTTTCCTGGCCCAGAACAGTGTTGTTTTCTCAGAGTACCCGTACTTTTCCACTAGGTGTCACTCATGCCATGCTACCCATCGCACATCAGAGACACCAAACATGTTAAGGGGACAGCAAAATAGCAGTTTTTTGAGGTAGATCAATATTGGATGATTTTGCTATACACCTCTCCAGAGAAGGATCCATTTTACTCCTGAGGTAGCACTGGAAGATTCAGAATCTAACGAATACTCCAAGCAGAAGTAGTAATGTGCTCATTGATCATAAGACCTTACACTTTCTATTACTTCTTTGCTTTCCATAATCTTCCTTAACTGTTTCCTTTACCCTGCAACTCAGTGCTGCAGCTTTTCAGATCTCCCTGGCTTTTTACCTGCAGAGAAAATGTTGATGGCGATTAAAAGTGCATATTCAGCATCATTGAGTTGTAGCTCATTCATTCCCTTTGAGAACTCAAAGATGGGGTTAATGAACTCAAACTGCAGACCTGTGGCAAACAGAAGAGAAGAGCATAAGGGTCAGCAGTAGCAATTGCTTCCTCTCTTTCTCTCTCTCCATCTCACAGAATAAGCTGTCAGAAACACACTCAGTATACCAGGGGGCAGGGAAGACAGGCAGGCAGATACATCACCAGTTTTCAGATAATTCTATCCCAAAGACAAAATCCCACAAGTTTAAAATCTATGCTTTTTATTCCACACCACTATCTCTTTCAAACCTGACAGCCCTCTTGCTTTCAAATAAAGTTTTAATTCCATGCTGCTGATGCATCTGAAGTCTTGAGATGAAAAAAGCAGTTCCAAGAGGTTTGAACTACTCAATTTCCTTTACCTTAAAAATCTGGGAGAGCTGCGGAAGATCCTGATCTAGACTTACAATCACCTTCTTTGGTAACAGCCTGGCAGAAGTACAGTAACATTTATTCTGTCGTAACATACAGAAGACACAGTCATATCTCATCTCCTTGTGCTTTGTGCTGTAAAACATGCTGAAAACTAAGCCTTTCCCCCAAAATAGCATCCAAGTCTCATTTCTGTAGTATGTAAGAGCAAGATGGAGGGAATCTCCCTGGCTGCCTTCTTTTTGTCTTTCTGATAACCTGAAGAAAAAGCTGCCATGAAGAACATCAAGGAGGAGATGAAAAAGAAATAAACTTTGAAAGTGCAGTTCAGGGGCGTGATATGGCAGTAAGCTCCTAGAAAGCCATCAACAGCCTGGAGGGCTGAGACATCCTGAACTTGTCCATGGAAGATAGAAAGAATCACAACAGCTGAGCTTCTGAGTCTTGTGGACCACTAAAACAACTTCTTATGAGAGTGTATTGATTTTGAATCCCTTCTACCATATCTATCTCATCCTAAGCAACATGACTCTTACCACTCTTTTTCACTTATCCTGATACCAGATTGTTTCCTCCCTTGTTCCCAGTCTCTTTCTATGGCTCCTGCTTATTCTCTGGGTTCACAATGATCCTTCTGTTAAAAGCAAAGAACAGGGCCATTGATCTGCTCTTGTTCTAAACCCTTCATCTGACTTCAAGTCCCATATGCTATTTCCAGCAGCCCACATGAAAAATGAAAAGATGAAAGAACACAAGACAGGGAAGGAAGAAACACCTGTCTAATGCAGCACCTGCTTTGGCGAAGTCATCCCGGTTATAGCTCAGGTCCTTCAGAAAAGTGATGCTCTCAATCTCTGGATTGTAGCGCCGAGATGTTTCCAACAACATCACCTGAAACCAGAGATCACAGTTAGATACACTTGATTACAGGAAAGAACATCACAGTATTAATAATCAATTGAGAGAAAAAAGAAGAAAAAACAAAAAAACCCAAGAAGTGCGATTCTCTCAGAATGCTTCAAAATTCCAATGTAAATTCTGCTGCTTCCTTTGCAGCATCTCCTCCTGGGAAGGGATTATCTGCTTTCCATTGCCAAGGCTCTTTTCTCTTTCGTCTCCATGGCCCTTTGCCAGGATAGCCTCACACTACAGAGCAGAGGTCTTTCTTTCAGCCTGCCATCCCAAAGAAAGGGATGTAAAATCATTTCTGTAGGGGGGTAATCCAGACTTTTTTGTCTCTGTTACTACGTACTATTGCGGAGACCACCTCTCACCTCTATGGTAGATGTCTTCAATAAAGCAATCTGATCTTCCCTGGTGAGCTCCCGGAAGCCAGGTAGTTGCTTGGCAAAGTCCACAATCTCTTGCACAGAAATAATTGCAAGTTCTGTAAAGTGAGCAAAACGCTGCTGCCTTGCTTCACGGTTATTAGGGTCAGGAACTTGGGGCCATGGCTGTGGAGATGAAAAGAGACCATGCATGCATATATATATATATATAATGAAAGATGAAAAAAGAACAGAAGGATGAGAAGATGAAGCAAACAGACAAAGAAAATGAGCGAGACACACTGGAATATTAGTTGTTCTATAGAGAACTATGCCTCAAGCATTTCCATTCTACCCAAAACTTCACCCCAACTCTGATTCTTTATAATTCTACTTCTTTCTTATTATTCTTACTATTATAAATTTCCACTGCTAATAATATTTACCGTCACTTTGAGCCTGTCAGTGAACGAGCGCTGGTTGCATTGCTGTTGAGCAGCCACAAGCTTTTCAATCATGTTTAACTGTTCAGGTGTCAGCTGGTGGGAAGGACTTGGTGGCTGTGGAGGGTTTGGACGCATCACGACTGTCCGCGCCTGATCGTCCTCCTGCTTCTTCAGCTTTTTCAGCCGAATCTGCTCTTCAGACAGAACATCTACAATAGGAACAGCCAGAGATCAACCGTAGAGGAACAATGAAACCACATTAAACACAGGACAGCGTGTTGTGGATGGAGAGGCAGAGGTTACAGCTGCCAGCACCTGGCTTATGTACACTCATGTAAAAGATACAGACAGCGATACTTATTTGTGTCTCACTCTCTTCTCCACTTGCTCCATTGCCTTTCTTTTAATTGTACTGTCCTGCCTATGTCCTTGCAATTCACAAAGGACAGTGAACACATGAAGCTCCCATCATATGTCAGAAATAGCTTTTACCACTGAGCAATTTCCCAAAATATCATATAACATAGTCCAAGAGGTGCTCTCTGCACATCACGATGAGTCCATTATATTTTATATAATCCTGTTGTTTTGTCTTTTTTTCTGATACTGCTAACTTAACAGTTTGTGTCATTTAACCTTCTCCTTAAGAGGTCAGATTCAGTACTGATGGAGTTAGACCATGAAAGGACAACCCTCTGTACAGCCCATCTGCAGCAGAAATGTACAGCAAGTGGAATAAGGAAAAGACAGCTTTGTAGAAATCCCACTGAGGAGGAATATAAGCCCTTCTGAGTAGGGATGGAAGTCTTCAGTCATGAAGTTAAAGAGTGATACTATTTAGATTCAACATTATAGAAAATAAAACAAGTCAGGGGTATGTCCTTCCGGAATGTCTTATCAAACCATTTGCTCATTAATTAAATTTGTTTAGATGCCTTTAACTAAGTTAACTGAAAAAAAAAAAAAGATTTTTGATGTAGACTTCTGCTGTTTCCTTAAAGCAAAGCTGCAAAAACTACCTGCAAGCCATATCTGAATCATCCTGTGAGCTACTGATAAATGAACAAAAAGCAGAAAGCAGACTGGAAATAAAATTGTATCTTCAAAAACAAATATAAAAATAAAAAATAAAGCCTGACCTTGCAGAAAGACCCTTTGGTAATTTTTTATGCAGAGGTAACAAGGAAAAATGGGTGCTACGCAAGAAGGCAGGCCCCAAAACTGAAGAAGTATAAACCTGCACTTCTCAGAACAAACTCTGATAAAACATGAAGGCAGGAACTAGGCAATTACTGTGACAGTGTGTTCTGAGGTGGACAATATACAGGATTGGAGGGAAAAACCCAGAGCATAACGCATTCAAGCTGAGATGAACCTTTATCCCATACTTCCAAAAGTAAGGGAGGGTATGCATGCATTCACACACACACACAAAATGAGAATTCTTACAACAAAGACATTCAGTACAATTACCACATCAAACATGACCTTTAAGATTGGAGAATGCTAGTCACACTATGAATTTAAAAACGGAAGAGACTGATTCAGGCAATTACAGTCCCTCACCTCACCGTCCCTCACAGAAGAATTTATATGAGTAACAAGTTACCAAGTATCAGAAAACCTTGCAAACTAACCCTAATGCAAGCTTCCTTCACTGCGCCAAATCCCAAGTAATCTGAGCCGCTCAGTTTTCCATGGAGGAGCTATTAAGCCTCATGGCACATGCTGGTTTAAGAAAAATAAACTAGCCATGAATAACTTCAGTCTGGGAATTGGAAGAATGTTTCAAACAATTTGCAGAGGAAATGACATTCCAAGTAAACAGCTGGGAAACAAAAATCTCATTTTTTGTCATGATTAACAAGGCAAATTTATAGCATGGATTACAGTGCTGACAAGACAAGTGGTTGATAAAATGACCCAATTATTCCTTCTGGCATAGTTTTCCTGAGCTGAAGTGTATCCTCTGTCTTCACCAAAAAACAATGAGCAAACACTGAAATATGATCAGGCTCTCTAGTATTATCTACCTGCAACAGAAGAGTTAACAGGTCAGGCAGGCAGCCTTACAGAATCATTTTTCAAGTGCATCTCTTTGTAGCTCTCAGAAGCAGGGGGAAACAGTGCACACAGCCTACATAAAGCTGATCCAAATCAGTGTAGAAGATTATCTATGTTAAGCATTCTGTGTTTCAGCTCGCAAAAAATGAAAAGCACATTTTCTTTGCTGCAGCTCATTGGGGCTTACTGTTTTCACAGAAGTATCTTTTAGAGATGTTTCTGAAATACTTTGTGTTCTTCACAATTCTGGTTGCTGAAGGTCAGAAAAGGAGACTTCACACAAAATTAATTCTAAGTGAGCACTCATTCAGTCAGCCTTGGTCAGCAGAGGGGTTAAACCTGGGAGCCTTGTCAGGGGGGTGTTGTTTCTGATATGCAAGCAGGAGCACTGCTGAATATTCAGGAACAGCAGCCTTATGGTCCAGTGAGAAAAATAACTAAGTTCACCAAAAGCAGCGACAGGACTGAGTCTGCACAAACACAGCCACAGTGCTATGGTGCTGCCTTTGACCTCTGTCACGAGGTGAATACAGGAAGTGCTTTTTGGCATTTAAAGAACATGGTGACAAACCTCATAGTGCAGACCAAAAGACAGCATACTGAAGAACGTGTAGACTTTAGTTGTGAGTCTTTCTTCTGATGTCACACACTATGATTTTTTACAAAACAGCGTTTTCAAAAGAATACAGCAGGGCTGGGGATCTCAGCACATCAGTGTTGTTTCACCAGCAGCCCCACCTCCCCACATAATCCCTGCTGAGCTCCCAGCACCTTCTCACACCCAATCCAGCCTGTAGAGCGCACGGCTCACGTGTGCTCCCCAGGGTTCACACTGTCCTCTCCCTTACACCCACCCCCGCTGGCCACCCGCCCATCCCCACCCCCTCATCCCAGCACCCCTTCCTGCACTCACACTGCTCCCGCATGCCTGCCTCCTGGCACTTGCGCAGCCGGCACTCCTGACACTTGCGCCGCATATACATGTCCATCTCACACTTGCCGCCATTCTTGCAGACGTACTGGGCGCCCTTGATGACACTGCGGCGGAAGAAACCCTTGCAGCCTTCACAGCTCAGCACGTTGTAGTGGAAGCCCGAGGCCTTGTCCCCACACACACTGCAGACTTCATTTCCCAGCATCTTGGGGGCTGGGCCCTTCTTCCGTTTCAGCGGGGGGTTTTCTATGAGAAGAACAGTAGCGAAAAACAAACAAACAAGTCACATACACACAAGAGGGAAGCACGGCATTCGCAACTGGTGGCCCCATTCCTTACAACGACCAATACATTCACTCAAATCCACTATCTCCTACATACATGGATGAAAAGTCACCCTTTCACTCCTTTGGGGCAAGCATGTCTTCTGCAACAAACCAAATATTCATATCATCCAAACAGTTCCATGCCAAATACGTAAGCAGACATAGCTTTACACTTGACCCTACTATGGAGCAGATCAAAGAGATAAAGATGTGCTCAAGCCCAATGTTCTTCTGCACATTCCATCAGCAGAAATGACTTAGCCACCTAACAAATAGCTGCTGAAAAACTGAGCTGAAATTCAAGACTGCACAGAAAATAATTGTTTTCAAAATTCAACACGTGGGAAAACCTTCAAGATAGAAGACAGCAACTCCATGCAGTCAGGGTCAAGCAGCTCACAAGTACTTTGTGAGCTCTAGTAACTTCTGTAACCTCAAAGCCATCATTTATTTTTCAAGATGACTGCTCCTCACTCCTTAAACTAAAACATTCTCACTCTTCATTTGTTAAATCTTGTTACTCTGTTAGAAAAAAAAAAAAGGTCTTCACTATTGCCTTGCATTTTAAATGGTCTTGTGCAGCAGTTCCCAGTTTTTCCTACCTCATTCTCATGGATCTTAATTTTGTCACAAAACGTATGTTCTGAAAACATCTTTGGACTGCTCCAGCCAGTGCTAAAGCATTCTACTCAAATGCTCACTGATGTTCGTTGTGCATTCCCTCCTTATTGGCCATCCCCGTTTTCATTCCACTAATTCTAGCCATGTTGTCATCCAACACGTTCTTCTACGCAGCTCAGTGCATGTATTTTTTTGTCTGTTTGATGTAATAGATCCTTCTATGGCAACTTCCACAAACACTACAGACAGAATGGCCTTGATAAGGTTCGGAAATTATTATTAGTGTTCTTCACATCATATTGGTTTTCAGACTTAAGTATCTTGGTGTTGATTTTCAATTCCATTGACTTTGCAAAGGTCTGCAGGTCATTCATTTTGGCATGCACATCTCATTGCAGACTGGAGATCAGGAAAATGTCAGCAGAAAGGTTAAGCCTCTGATATTTTCCTCTCTTGATTTACTGTACTTCTCTTCACACAATCTCTCACACAATCTCTTACAAAGAAGAAATTATGCAATGCCTGTATTTATTTCAAGTAACTCAGTCTCCTTTTACACATATATTAACTGGTATAAAAACTTTGATGAAGCTTTGAATCACGTTCAGATTTCTGAGCGACATCATGCGATAACTCCACATGATGGATCCATCCAGCACATATCTTTTGACTGTCTGTAATGAGTTACCTAACGATCTGACAACCATCCTTATGACTGTTTCACTGAGTCAAATAGGCTTAAGTTTTCATCTAAGGAAACTATTTTCCACTTTGAACATTAGGCATTTTAGTCATACTGCTTATCATTGTCATTTTGCATAGTCAAAGGTTGAGATGCATCAAGCTTGACCATCATCTTGGTACCTTCGCCTCTCATTATGGTCCTCTTTGTTTGGTAGATTCACTCTTTAACCATTTTCTCCATTTCATGACTTTCCTGCATCGTAAAGCATTCATTAATTTCATCTTCAACTACCAGTAATGGATTCTAGTCTTAGACACTGGTGTCTCAGATGTGGCAGTACTCACTCTAGAACTTCTCCAAGTATCAGTATTATTTACAGCTTAAAGAATGGAATCCCTTTAGCTTGTAAGCATTAAATAAGAATTCTTCCATACCTGCATGCTTAGGGGGGTTCTCTGAGCCAGAGAAGAGTGAAAGGCCTTCCTCCTCCATCTCAAATACACTTGCCACCCTCTTCCCATGGTCCTGTGTGCTGAGTTGAGTGGGACCCATGGAGGCCACACAGGAAGGGCTTGCTATAATCTCATCTCTGCAGCATTGTTACTGCAGAATAAGGAGCAGCAGGCAACTTTATTCAAGGTCTTTAGTTTTTCTCTGCTACTGAAAGTCAGAAAGGAAGTACCTGTGGAGAAAAACAGACGAAAGAAGCAAGACTTCAGCTACTGAGACTGTTAACTCCCCAAATCTATTACAGAATAGCAAGCAAGCAGCAGGACTGTTTCCTTATTAAGGAACAATTAACTTTGTTTTTTATCAATATTTATTCCCTTGAAATAATATTTTAACAAACTGTGGTTAAGATACAGTAACAGCACACTCGGACACAAAACTGTTCACTGTCACATCAAACCAGGACAAGCTTCCATTACCACTAGCACCACCAGGGGACTTCAGCCCTAATCTTTCCAAGCATGTGAGAGGGAAATTCCGAACTGCACAACCAGAGGCCTTTGCTGAAGCTTCCAGGAACCGATTACTCACTACTGCCAGCTGTGCTGGATTTTGTTGCATGAACTCCAGAGCATGCAGAAAATTGTAAAAGACAATTTTGATACACTGATATAGCAACAACTAATTTGCCTATTACTAGCAACAGCTGAAGGCTGTGCTAAGGATCAATGATGCATCAAAGATGAGGATTACAAATCCTCCCCTGACCTACAAAAATAAACAGAAAACCAGAATCATATCTAAGGGAAACCTTGGCCATTATGCCACTCCCAGGAAACATTCACCACCAACCTTCTGGGGACACCCTCTTCCGGGACTTGGAAATCATACTAAAAAACATCCTTTTATAAAGCACTAACTCCATTCTGCATAACATGAACCTGGAAAGCAAATCCAATCACTTTTTCCAAAAAGCTCTACTACCTAAGCAGAAAAAAAGTCTTGCCAGTTACACTGCAAAGACTTAGTGAAACTGATGTAAACTGCTACTATAAACACACCTTTATCTGCTCCAACGTGCATACAGATCACTTGGATCTTAATTCTGTGATTTACCAATGCAAGCTAAAAGGATTAACTGATTTAAAAAGCAACTGCCTTAAAGGCCAGGACCAGTTTAACTTGGCTGACTGAGTTCAGGACTGGAAGTGTGCCACTCTCTAGAAGAGATGAGGTGACAGAAGGCTGTGCAGCAGCACAAACATAAAGCGTCAGGTAAACAGGGACATGCCTTACACAGTGCACTGCTGACTGGGAGAGGCAGAGGACTACTGCCCCAAGCCTCTTCTCCCCTCCTCTATATTTGGACCAGACCATATAACTTCTTTTAGAATGCCAAAGGCAAAAGACAAAAACAGTTGTGCCACAAAACCACCCCTCCTCCCCCCCCTGAACTCCAACAGCAACAGTCATCACGTACAAATCCAGCCATACTGTCAAGACTGCTAGGCTCTTGCCATGCCTCTTTATGCTGTGGCAAACAACAGGAGCAAGTGTTGAAAACCATATATTAAAAAACCACATATTAATTTATGTGACCTTTGTAAACACAGACTCAGACTGCATAAGGAAATCAAAACTCCCTTTCTTTGATGTACAGAGCCACACAATCACTGCAAAAATAGACTAGGATAAGTGCAACTGCAGCAAATGTAGAACACGAAGCCACAGAAGAACAAGAAATCCCAGAGTAAAAGACCGCAACATAACAGATCAGATTTGCAAACAATCTAAAGAGATGCACAGTTTCCAAAAGAACAGCATGGATATCACAATTAACTTTTAAAAAATTATCCACAGTAAATCCTGCAACAACAGAAAACCCTGTGGAGAGGCACAGAGCACCACCTGGAGATGGGAACTTCAGTGAGAGAAACCCAGAGCTGCCTTGTATTCCTACATGTATGTTCTTCATGGATGCACATTTTCAGATCTCTAGGGACATGTCTGGGCACAAAACAGAAAGATGAGATGCCTGAGTACATCTCCACATTCCTTTAAGTCACGCAAAAGATTCGCTCAAGCATAAGTTACTGTGAAGAATGAAACACTGCTGGTAGTACTTGCAGGACTTCTTGAAGAAAAGGTCCAATCCTCCAGCTGGTGGATGGAGTGATGGTGCTCAGGCCCTGCTGCCTGCAGGCAGTGACACAGCCCTGCTGCATCCCAGACACGAGCTGCAATGTATTCCGGGAAGTAAGGGAGGAGGAGGGCTCCTCCTGAAGGGATTACAAAATCATTTCATCCACATAGTCACGACTGACACTGCAAGAGTGAAACTTCTTGTCAGCAGGACATCTGGAGCCCAAAGGGGAGGGATTTTTTTTTCTTAAAAAAGAGATTGCTGACTTCCTGGCAATGTCAGACTAGACTGCAGGCACCCAGCACACAGCAGGGGTATGGCATATCAGTCACTACCTTCATGCTGTGAAACCAGCCCATGTGTTCCTACCTCATGCACCATCCTCTGGCACTTCCCCAACAGAACGGGCCAGACAGGAGCAGGAAAGATGAGAGGCCAAGGCTGCTTCTAAGACACAGTATTTTTAGTTTTGTAGATGCAGTAACAGTTCCAGGCTGTGGAAAATAGATCTAACTACAAACAGCAGCACTCTGGTGTAGCAAAGTAATGAAAGCTAAACTAGCCTTTTCCCCACAGGCAGATACAAGAGGCTGTGTGATTAGGCAGGAAGTTTCACCGAAATATATAAGAGTTGTTTTCATGTAACTCCAAATGTTCTTGAGTTCTGTACTAATATTCATGTTATCAGGGGTTCATATCTCCCAGTTTATACCGCCACTTCAACTTGAAATAAAAAAGGGTGATGCAAGCCTGAACTACAAAAACGAACGCAGTCTTCTTGACATCATCTTCCGCACTGCCTCCACCTTCTGTCTCAACTCTGTCAGTTTTAGAAACCAGCACTGGCCAAGTGACAAGAAATGGGGCAATCACTTCTCCAACACAACTTCTACAAGGAGGAACCTGGTGAGCATACACTGCACAAGGAATCACACATAGATGAAAGGCAGATAGAAACAATTCTCCACCTCGTCACTCACGTCTCAGATTCTCTCCTTGTCTCCATGTCTCAGATGAGATGTTAAACATTTTTAAAAAATGTTGTTCCTTACATCCTTTCTTCCCTCTCTCATGGTCTCGAGATCAGCACTCCTCAAACAAAGAGTACTGGAGTAGGGACTAGAGAGACCTGGCTCTTGCACTCCATGCTTACTACCAGAAACCTTCACTACACCCTCCAGCACTAGCCTTGTTTGTACCCATACCCTCAGCTAGAGGACCCCTTCTGAGCCCAGCTGAAGCATTTATGCACTCTTTTGGAAATCTTTGACCAGACCTGTCCTCAAGAGCCACAAAACTACAGAACATGCCTATTTTCTGTCCCATGCTCTCAGAGGATAAGTAAAGGATATGGCTTTGCACAGCAAAGCACACAGATGAAGAAGCCAAAGGAACCAGATGTAGTTACCGCAGTCATACTTCTGATAAAAATGCCTGTTCTCTCCACAGCATTCTTTGTCTGATACTTTATGGGAGAAGTTTACAGACCAGGAAGCAAACCAGATGCAAGTGTACACCTGGAGAAACTGTGCTGTGTAGCGCAGGGATAATGAGAGGAAAAGCACAGTGGGCCTTTTACCTCCAAGCACTGGATGCTCAGAGGAAACGATGGCTTGTTAAGAAGTTTATGCAAGTCCCTGGGATCTTTCAAAAGAGGAGTTACTAGTCCGACAGCCTTCAGACAAGAGAAAAGAAGCAGTTATGTTTTAGTTCTGTAATGAATCACCAGTGCACACTGCAGTACGTCAGCACCAACAGAAGAGACCCTGTACATGCAGTACTGTGACTGTGCTCACGTGTCATATACGTGTGTGTCAACAGGACTGCAACTGTGTGGATGGGCCTAATGAATGTGCTGCTGGAGAACCCATGTGTCTGAAGGGAAGGACTTTCAGAGAAACTTACAGCAAGAACATAATTTTGCATTTGGGCTTCTAGATGCATTCTGACAGGCGAAACAATCCTCAATCTGAACCTACCTCTGAAAACTGAGTCAAAATAGGGTCTTAAGGATCTCTGTGTGTGCACACTGGTGATGATACCCCGGGTGTCAATCCAAATGTCTGAATAAAAAAGAAAAAACACCGCTGGACTGACATGTCACAGAACCTACAGCATAGGCATAGAACAAAGCTCCTCAGGAGACACTGCTCTTTCAGTTCTTTCATAAGTACTAAGAGGTATTTTGCAACCCAATGCTCTTCCTATACCTTCCCTGGTGCAGCATCAACTTCAGATTGTCAAAGGGAGGGAAAAAATATGAAAATGCAAGGTGTGCCAAGAAGCACAACATGAAAGCACTGTTCTTATCATTACGTTTATAAACAAGGGCAAGAACTGCTCTATAACAGTTGAACAGCAACTAGCTCCACGTCCTAGCAGCAGATTCCTTTCTACAAAGAAGTGCACTGCATTAACTGTTTGGATGTCTCAAGCATAAAGACAGCTACAAAATGGAACTGCCTACAAGCCCACCTATCTCAACAACAGTGGTAGAAAAGCTACAGCCTGTTAAGAGCTTTCACTGGCTACCAAGCTAAGTTTCAGCAGACCACTACCAGCTCCCCAGATGCATGGCACCTGTCCATAAGAACTAGAAGCTGCTGCCACTTCTGATAACCACAGAAAGCAATTATTCCTGGCTGCAGCCAGCTGCCCATGGTGGGCAGCACTAGGGTCTCCTGTTCCCACCTCTGTCTCTAGTTCTGAGTCTCAGAGCCCATGTCCTCTTACTTTGGCTCTTCCTCCCGTTGCTGACCAACTTGCTTATTACCCATCCCTTTGCTGACTTCTGGAACAGCCTCTCCTTAAGTGTTTGTCTCTTCCTTTAAATTGGTGTATCCCTGATCTTGCCTGGTTCTCACTGTGACACCTGGCTCTCATGGTGAAGGTTTTCTTTGGACTGGCACTCTGCCCTTGGCTTCAGTCTGTTCTCAACACACAGCACAATGTCTCCTACCTCCAGGTACAGGTGCCATGGCAGCTCCTAGACAACAGCTCCAGAAGTGACTAACTACTGGACAGATTAACATAAACAAGTGTGTGTCACTTGGCCGAAAGAGTGCAGGAAAGAGAACAGGAAGGCATAATGATGGAGTACACCAGGATGGAAGGTAGTACTCTGCAAGATGGTTTCTGCCTATTCCTCTTAAGTTTGCCAAGGAAGGGAGAGTCAGGCTATTATAGAAAAATACCCTAAAAGAGTTTTTAGCTTTGGGAGACTGAAGGGCAGTCTCTGTAACTTTCAGATCTTTTACTACAACAGTGCTAATATTTCTGCACACGTTCATCAGTCTGTATCCAGCATGACTTAGATGGTCTGGACACACAGAATATGCCGTTATTGACAAGCAGCAGCAGCAACAGAAAATCCAAACCATTTCTGCCAACCTCGTGGAAAAAGAACTGAAAATAGGACTGAAGCAAAAGAAAAATTTCTCTCCACTGAACATCTGCAAATTCATTAGCGAAGTGAATTACAGTCATATGACACAATGGCACTATCAAACACAACACCATAATTCAGGGCAGAATCAGCCCAAAGGACTTCTGCTTTGTTCTATATCAAAATCTCAACTCACTCCTAGCCTGTGTCTCGATAGCACAGGACTAGCTTCTTTCCTACACAGGGTGCTCTGGGAACAGGGCTTCCCAAACTATCCCTGAGATGAAGACAGAACATGCTGGCTCCAGTCACGCCCAGAAACTTACAAACTCTGTAGAGGAGCTCCTCACTCCAGCAGCCACTGTTCATCAAGTCAGCTCTCCCATGCATGTCTCATCCAGCAGGAGATGCTCTCTCTCCTCTCACCCATCTCTCTCATTACACCTTATATCCAAAGACTGAGGTTTTGGGTTTGCCCTCGCCTTCACCTCTTGGTTTCGGCCTGATCAAAGGGTGCCATGTCAAAACAAGAAACAAGGGGAAAAAAGTGATACAGAGACTGTTCTCATGGTGGGTGAGATCCTGAAGTGGGCTGAGCCTTTCTATTTCCTCCCTCCCTCCTTCCCTTCCTCCCTCCCAGCTGCCCTTGATCCTGCAGAGAGGAGGAGAAAGGAGACAGGGTTACTGCCGTTCACTCACACTGCACACAGGGTGCTCTCTCGTCTCTTTTCCTGTTTGCATGAAAGCACCATTCCCTCTGACAAAGGAAGAGAGAAAGAGGCAGAAAAGGAGTGAGGGAACAGATAATGTTAAGAAAGGATAGGCTCTTCCCTGATTAATTGAGAATTAATAATAAGTCTATCAAGGCTGATGTAGCACCTTGCCGACATGAAATGCCTCCGGAGGCCACAGACTCAAGTTCCCTTGAACTCTACAAAACAGCACAAGTCAGGCTGAGGTGGCAAAGCTCCAGCCCCTCTTATCCTTCCCAGGCTTTCTACTGTCTCCTTCCCTCAGCTTTCAAGCTTCTGACTAATCTACAATATAGCCATCCTGAGCTGCCAAGAGTGTGCACTGGTTTCTAGTAAAGAAGATACTACAGTAACAGCACCTCCAACCATCCTACCAAAAGACAAACCATCATCTCCTAGCCCAGCCTGGCCAGCTAAGCCACGGCCCCACATTCCAGCGTGGGAGCAAAGGGAACACAGCCACTCAGATTGATGCCGGCTTCCACAGCAACCACAGGGGAGAAAGCGAGCAGAACTTGCTATGTGCAGCTGAACTGCAATAATCCCCAGCTCCTGGCTGCAAATCCAGCTCCAACTGTCAAACCGCAGTTTGACTCCGCTATCAGCGCCGACCTTCAGACGGCAGGAAGCGCAACCGAGGCTCCAACAGAAGCTTCGAACAGGAAAAATCCCATCTGCGCTCCTCCCAGGAGGATGAAGCACACAGAGCAAAACAGCTGCCCCCTCCTCCTGTCAAAGGAGCAAAGGGCAGCTCTGTGCAGCTCCCTGGAAGAAGGGAAAGGGAGGGGATCCAACCAGCAGCCTGCTCTGCAGAGTGTTTGTCAGCATCAGCTGTAAGCCCACTCCCTATGGAAATTCACAAAGAGCAACAGTGTTCTTTTGCCAGTGTCACAATTTCCCCATGCAAACTAAGGTATCCAAACATTAGATTTTTTTCCCTTGCACATTTAAATATGTCTATACAAAGGTGGTTTTGCTTTGTGTTTCATTTTCTTCCTACGGCACCTGTATTGGCTATGAGTGTAATTCTCTTGTCCTTCTGACCACATCGCCAGAGAAAATACAGGTAAAAGTAAACGTGAGAATTGTTCAAGCAATCTGGAAAACTTCCTCCTGTGAAGTTATCTGCTAATCAGTAGGAATTAAAGTTATCCCCAGACTTATCAAGAGAACATGACTCCAAAGAGATGGGAAATAGCCAGTTCACTTGAATAGAGGTAATGGCAGTACTAGCTATGTTTTAACAGCCTGTTTTTGTTTGTTTTTTTTTTCTTTTTTCAAATGGGGCTGTGCATTAGTGGAAAAAAGAAGATTTAAAGAAACCTTTCTCCAACCACTATGTACTACCACCTTGGCATCACATGACAGAGAAAAGAAGATATCCCTACCTGGCAGCCTATGTTCTCCCTTTCTGAACTTGAGTCCTACAGATATTACATCCCTGTTTCAGGGAACACAGGTTTGACTCACGAGGGGTGTGAGATGTCATCCCAATATTGTATCCAAACCGAAGGAAGATGAAACAAGCAAAAACCACAGAAATAATGGTGACTACCCAAAGTAACATCCTCATAGTGGAGATCAGGGAAGAGGGCTAAACCCAGCTCACAGCCAATAAAAGAATCAAAGAAATTACAACCAGAAAAACAGCCTTGCCAGCCTTTCTCTGCACACAGAAAATAATGATAAATAATCACGTACTGCTTACCTGATTGTTTCCTTAAAGTAATTTAATCTCCACAAAACTCTCAGGAAATAACATCCCCTGATCCCTGCCTATTCTAACCATCTCCAGCAGCTGGCATCACCAAGGAGAGATGCGCTTGGCTCACCAGGTGGTCTCAGCCCATCTCTTCAGTATCAGAACACAAAGGTGCTGCTGGCTCCTCTGAGGAAGAACAGTCTGATTCATGGACAGATCACCCTCTCTCAAACTGGTCTCTACCCTCCAGCACCTCTGTAACAGAAGAACAAAAGGCAAAAGAAGAAAGAAAAACTGAAGAAGAGGGCTGTTAGTGGTACAGTTGTTTGTTCATTTTTCTATTTCCTTCTTTCCACCCACTTCCTTTCATCAACATGCTGCATATCACCATAACTAACACAGGATTGTTTCTGGGAAACAGCTTTTTATAATGTATCTATATAGCACTTAGTATCCAAGCACCATCGCACCTAAAAGCATCTATCAAAACAAATACTACTGCTCATCACAGGCAAAAGAGAAATACAGTACTGGATCGCAAAGCAGGCAGGAAACTCATTAAGACTCCCTTAAGGGCAGTAGGGGAAAAGTACCAATTCCCATTCATAGAAATATTATCCCTAGATGTAGCACAGAGGTCAAGAAGAAATGACAATACTACTGAAACACTCATATGAAGAACATATCAGATGAATACAGGAACTGAGTCTAAATTGCTTCAAAGCAAGCTGGACCATTCCACATCTTGGCCTATTCAGCACTCGTCCATTACCTAGGGATACATTCTGGCAGATTTTGCTAACGTGGCTCTTAAAAGGGCAGAAGAGAGGCAGAGCTTTGAATTATACATCCAAACCTAAATCAGCGAGAAGCGATCAGAAAAATTGCCAAGAAACACAGTAGGGAGAGGCATTTAGGGCTGCAGATCAGAAGACTATCAGAAGAGCTCTGTTGGAAGGCAAACTTGTCCTGCTTTTGACTTTACTATTCAACATCCTGGCCTTCATGGTCTATTTCCCCATCCCTGGATGCATACGAGGCCAGGCTGGATGTGGCTCTGGGCAGCCTGGTGTAGTGACTGGCAACCCTGCACACAGCAGGCGGATTGAAACTAGATGATCGTTGTGGTCCTTTTCAATCCAGGCTATCCTATGATTCTATTATATGATTCTGCTTTGGGGTCATTTCAGTTAAACACTTAGAAGTACAGTAACAGCAAGACAAGGAGAAGGAATTATTTTTCTTTTTAAAATAAACCCACAAATAAAAGCTTGAAGGGAAGGGTTAAAGGTCTGAAAATGACAGAAAGAGGATCCGTGTGACAGGAAGGGAGTGTGTGAGAGGGCGTGTGACAGTCTGTGTAGCAGAATGTGTGTGTCAATCCCATTCCCTCTGAGGTTCCTGGCCAAATGCAGAGCTGAACTTTTTGCAGACTTTGTCCTGCCAAGTCATGTTCCCTTCTCACACCGCCTGACATCACCACAAACACTCAGCTGGAAAACAGACCGGAGCGGGGCAGAGTCCACTGCGGCAGCACCAGCCAGTGGGATGGCTGCAGAGTGGCACACCCTCCAGCTGGCTGAGCTGAGCCTCTGCTCCTGCAGGTAATCTCCAGGCACCTGGAGCTTCACCCTGGTTCATCCAAACAGAGCCCTAACGTAGGGCAAGGGGACCTCAGTGCTGGCATATCGATGCTTTTCTATGGCCCAAATTCCTTCAGCACAGAACAGACTGGGAGTCTGCAAAAAATCTCTAATAGAGAAAAGCAAAGGAACCTAACTACGAGAATGTCAGGTTTCATCTAAGCAAGACAGCACAAGGAGCCCACCCCATTCCTAGTTCCTGTGCAGTCCTGTCAGGAAGAGGAGAAGGAAGCCAATGGCAGAACCCACAGGCCACCAACCAAAGAACCACGAGCCAGCAGCTGTGCACGGATGAAAGCTTGGGCAGGTGCCACATGAAGCAAGCGAGCAAACATTATTCCAGTCAGAAAGCTCCTGCCAGCCACCTTCTCAGAAACAGCTGCAGATCCAGCAATGTAAGCGTGTGTGTGTGGGAGCAGGTAATGGGGCTGCCAGCAGGCAGCTGGGCTTCTTATCCTGATCCTTGCACCAAGGTTAAGTGTGGGGATGGCTGCTGCTTCTGGGACACTGCAGAAGGCACCACTCAGAGCAAGTACTGGGATGTATTGCTGGGAGACCAGTCTGGAATGGGGCAGGACAAAACCTCCAGTCTCTCCTTGTTTTAACTTCTACTACCAAGCCCAATCTGCTGCTAAAAGTGTAACAGGAAAATATCTTCAAAGTGCAGGTAATAGAGAGAAAAAAAAAATGTTTTCTTCAGGTAAAGGATTCTGCTTTCTCCACTCCTGTTCTACTTCTAGGAAAACAAAAAAGCAATTTGGGAGCTTCTATAGAAAAAAAGTTTTCTTCAGTTCCAAAAAAGCCTGAAAGTTAACTCCCCTCCTCTCAGACGCACTCAGATAACAGGAGCTCTGTGGCAGGCTCCGAGCTCATCCATATTCTGTATTCCAAAACACTCCCAAAGTCGGTACCTGAAGGCCACATGCCAGCTTCTTCTCCAGCATTCGGAGTGCACGGCTGCTGAGCTGCCTCGGTGGCAGCGCCTGTGCGAGCCACAGCACGCTGCTGAGGGCCCCGCACCGTCTGCAAGTTAGGGCAAGTGCCATCACAGCCGGTCCCAAAGGCTCTCCCAGCACACCTTCACACACCCGCAAACATCCACACGTGTGTTTCCCCTGAGAGCTGCCCATGTATAAACGTCCAGGAAAAGTCACCGGTGCAGCGTATGGAGTCCTCTGGGGAGCGGCACGTTTCTGCACGCTTGACTCTGGCCACAGAGACACACTACAGAACTGGTTCAAAAGCCTGCACCTCTTTGCCCTCGTTTCACAGAGGCCCTAAATAGACTACTTAAATTCCAAATGTTTTTATTTACAGAGGACTTCACACACATTTTTCCAAGATTACATTCACTGAATTTTTTACAACGATGACAATATATGATAAAGCCTAACACAAACACACAAACCCTCTCCAAGCAGCACACGGTCACTGTGGAATGTTTAAAGAATGCATTTCCTAAATTTGAGAGACTTCTTAAATCCCTGGAACCAGAATCCATTGAAGGATCAATCCATAAAGGACAAGAGAAAGTTTCAGCACTGCGATCATTCACTGAAAGCTGGAGGAGGGAAGCACGCTTGGGGAGGGAGGTGTTTTTCTCTTCCAATCTATGAAGAAAAACAACACAAGGGAGGATGAGTTGCACTCATTCTAAGATCTGGAAGGACACAATGACCGAAAACATGCAGTTCATTTTGATAAGTACAGATAACAGCGCCTTGTTAAAGCAAAACTGTTTTAACAGTACACACGCCAGCAAGCTAATTTTTTTTCTTATTTGTCCTGTGCTTGATTATAGTCTAATTATAAAAATTTAATTTTGCGTGCTTTTCATTTGACCTTTTAATGCAAACAGAATTGCAGAAGTCACTAGGAAAGATGTTATTCACCTAATAAACTCAAACGGCCATTTTCCAGCGTAAACATTTGCTGTGATATAATAGCATAAGCTGATGTATGCAGATACACTCTATCATCCTGCTTAGCAAGTAATATATTAGCCTAGCCAATTAGAACAAACCTTGCTTTTAGAAAAACACCAAATGCAAAACAAGGCTTACGTGGCTTACTTGGATCACCAACTTAAATCGTGACTTAAAATCAGCAGGTGGAAGCCTTGCTTTGAGCCACACAGCCGTGTTTGTCTCACAGCTGGACCACGGTCAGCCAAGACTCCCCTTTCCCAAGAAGGGCAGAAGATCTCACTTCTGTGCCCAGTTCATTTCAAGGAATTTTACAAGTGTATTTACCAGTATTTAAAAAAAAAAAACAAACTTACAAAAAACTAGAAAACCTAACATGCCAGGGAACACCTACTCTTGTCAGTCACTTGCTGCAGCAACCGGTGTGATACCCACCTAACATTGTTTATTTGCATCCCAGAGATGTTTCTACATGTAAATAATGCAGCTTGGCTCTGCAGCACGATTTGACGGCCTTTCAGTCCTCCCATCCCATGAGAGTTCTCCTACTTAACCCTAGAGAGAGCAATTATGGTAGCTTCCAAAATCAGAGAATTACATTCCTAATTTTCTAACATAGTTCTTTTCATTTCACCATCAACTAAAGAAACAAATATTTCCCCCCCCCACCCCCACAGACAAAAGCAGGATTTTGCTCTTCCCTATGTGTGCTATCCAAAGTAGCCTTTGCCCTCCCCAAACAAGAGGCTTAAAAGCTTGACAGTGCATATTCCAACTCACTTTTACTAAGTGACAATGATATCACCTCAACATTTTCTTTCGCATTCTCAATAAAGCAAGCAGTTTTGCCTTACAGGAAATCTGCTTTTGAGATCTCCAGATCTAAACTAACAAGCCCCACAGGCTCCAGGGATATCTATCTCCTTGTTATCGAGGACACAAGAAATGAATTTGTCCGTGCTCCAAAAATGGAAAAAAAAAAAGTATTTTGTCCTAAGCAGGAAGTCACAAAACAAAGTAACACAGGGTGCTGAAGTAACACATCACACCACCTTTAACTGAGATATTTTTAAGATCTGCCGGAACACAGAAAGCCTCACCTATTTTAACAACATTCTGTGCATCTTTCATACCAAGGCCTATTAAAATGCAGCTTCTAGCTGCAGTAACCACAATGAAAATGCAAGGTCAAACACTGCACTTACATATTAGCAGAAGTATGATCTAAGACCAAGTTCAACCTGTTTGCAGACTGGATGTGGAACCGTACCCGTGCAGAAAGCACTCCCCCAAACTCCTTCCTAAGGCTCCTTCCCACTCAGTTTCCACAGCAGAGAATGTGATCCTGCCCTCCTAAGATTATTATGCTGTGAGGAAAACAAGGCAACACGCTGCACTGCAGAACAGCAGAACAATTTCCCTCAGCCAAACAAAACAGCATTTTTATAAGGTTTTAGCTTAATGCTGAAATTGTTATTTTTCTCTGAGACTGTCAGACGCGCAAACACTATTGCTTGGTGGGGAAGGAGGGAGGAAAATGACAAAATCTGATAAGCTTTCCTATTCAACTTACAAAGATGCACAGATCAGTGACAACGAGACTTCCACAGCAGCTGCTTCCAGAGCAGAGCATCCTTCAGTGCATTCAAATACAAAGCACATTATATTCTGTATCCTTCCCTGGGCAAATGGGACTTCTGAGAAACAGCAACAGTTAAAGACTCTAAATTCAAAACTTCTTTTTGTAGAAAAAAAAGTCCATCTCGATAGTCACACGGTCACAGAGCAGATCTAGTTACAGAAGATGGAACATGTGTAGCCTGTGCCCATCACCGTTTCTAAAGACTGGATCAAACAATCAGCAGCAGATTTCATCCTTCCCTTTACCAAACATCAAGCGCTTCCCGAATCGTAACAGCAATCCCTAGAGAAAGTACTTTGGCTGAAAAAGTTGTCTGAACAGAGATAACAGCAATCCAACACGCATTAACATGCTGGAAACACAGCTCTGCCTACAGGTGTGAGCTCAGCACCGGGCAGTGAGCTCCCGCCCACACCTCTGCAGCACACACCTGCTGTCCCGCACACGCCGACTCCTTGCTGCACCACAGCCAGCAAAGGGAACGCCGTGACAAGGTACAGAGCTGCAGCTGCAGCAGCTGCTAACTGCCAGCAGCGGTAACCAAAGGCACACTGCCAGAACACAGCAAGACAGTCATAAAGTTTCCTGTTGTTTGACGCTTTTTTGGTTAGGTAATTCATACACACAGTCCCTGCTGCAGTGCTTCTCCTTGCACCCTGTTACAGCATAAGCAGCTGCAGGATTCCTTGGACAGCTATGGAACGGTGGAGACAGGAGGGGAGCTAATTATTTTAGCCTCCATATTTCTCTGCCAAAAGTTGGCCGCCCTCTGTGATGGATGCACCTCTGTAAGCATACATAAGGAAGAAAACCTACTGAACTCAAGTGCCAGATTCTAGTGAGTGACCACAGCAGGCAGTACCCAGCTG